TCAGTCGCCCCGTTACAATAATATAATATAATATAATATAATATAATATAATATAATATAATATAATATAATAATCAAGGGGACAATGAAAAACAAACTGAAAAACTTACATTCATAAGGTTTACAATTACAATTTCTCTAATGCCTAAAGGATAAAAGTGTCAAAACATAAGGAAATAACCGGAGTAAATATTTGCTTAACATGAAATTATACATTATATAAATATAATATAATAATCTTGTCATTAAATACCCTTTCAGTAAATTTTGCTATTAATTTATTCATTACATTTTCATCATTTGATGTATATATTATATTATATTATATTATATTATTATATACTTGAATCAAAATGTCAGAATGTTGCTTTAGAACCAAACCTCAGGCCTAAGCTCAGGTCTGACCCTAAACCCTAAAAAAATACAAAAAAAATAAAAGATTTGTTGACAGGAATGTTGTTCCAGAACCAACAAGAAAGTTGATCCAGGAACACGTTGTGCTTGGCGAAATCCAAGACACCTGACCTAGTCCCGGTATAACTGAGATTTGAACTGTGAATCACAGTGATTGAACAAAGAATGTCATATTTCTAGAGCTCCAGCAAACCAAATACCTCTTCCCTCTGTGACGCTAGCTTATTTGGACTATTTACACAGTTAAAAACACGGTTTCATTAAGACCAAACTGGCCCAAACAGATAAAGCACTATGCAGAGTACCTGTTACACTCAGATGATCCATTCACAACAAACACAACACATGCAAACATGACTCTGTATACATGTGGAAGTAAAACAGCAAGACCGATTTTTTTTTTCATGATGCAAGTCTTTCTGTCCTTTTGCAACAAACTCTAATGTTCATCCAAGCAGAATTATTACCATATGAGTTTCATCACTAAGACAATGATGACATAACAGAGGCCGGCTCGCCATCTCAGTCCTTCATAAGTGCGACTCATTACTTTGATGTTATAGCTAATGCTGTAGCACTCTTTCTAAATCAAGGACAGAGGATCTGGAAGCACTTAATAGTGATAGAGGAATGTCAGATGAAATGCATACAGCTGTATAATGGTTTATGATTCAGCCCACACAACATGCATTCTTGATAAACCTGTTAGTTCAACGGAGTTATGCAATTAACCCAATTGCAAAATTAATCATTTATATATTTTATATATAAAATAGAGATTCAGATAAACTATTTAAAATGATAATATATAACACAAACACCTCATTTCAACAGCACATTTCCGTTGATGCTTCTATAACTCATTTTGACCCTATTAACTATTTGTCGATTTCGTACCTTTGGCAAGCGTTCAGGGTCTCCTGGATGCCGAGGTATCACCTTCTGTAACCGCTGAAAACCGTAGTCTATGGTGGGTTCATTCAGAGCTGTGGACACAAACAAAAGAGACAAATCCATCACTTTTGATGTAATTTTAGAAGACTGGTTACATTTTTTCCTTTTAATGTGCTGCAAAGAATAAAAGGCTTAGCATATTTTTGGAACAGAATTGAACATGGACATTTAGTTGTTGCATTATCATTTTTTTCTAAATTTACACAAAATTCACTCCAACCTAGAGTAATAACTCTTCAGAGAGTGCAATAATAATATATACAACAGTTCTAATGGAAGTCGTTTAAAATGGTTGGGAATTGTTGTACGCCCATGTTAAGTGCAGCAAGCGCGTATAGTGTGTAATCGCAGGACGTTTATGTTTTACGTTTCACGCAGCAATTACTTTGCATAAAGTCTTTATGCTGTCAAAAACACGAAAGCCTGTCACTCAATCTGAGCGAGGGATGAGATGGAGGACAGGAGAGATATTAACAAGCTATCTGACACCATTTGCTCCTGCAATGGACAGAAAATGGATGTAGAATATCTGCTCATGATGGCACTTTGTTTGTGAAGTGCCACAGTTTTGAGAGCCTGCTTAGAAGTAGGGGACCAAACAAAAACTCCTAATGTCATTAACATTCAAGACAGTTCTAACCAGCTCAGACAAACTACATTTTCTAAAGAGGCATAAATAAATAAATAA